TCACAGTCTCCATGAGAGGGGAGAATTGCATCCCAGTAGAAATGAACATTGCAGACTGTGCAGAGCATCACTGCACTGAGACTCTGCTGTTTAGATGGCCAACTTGTTGGAGAGAGAGGGAGGGGTGGTTGGACTCATCTAACAGTTCCCTTCTGATGGGTTATGAGTAATCAGTCAGCTAAAGAAACCTCCCTCTTACAACAGCAGTTGGGAAAGAGTCCATAGATTCTGGGCTGCAGTGTTGGCACAATGACTCATAGACGTCACTGCTCGAAAAGACCAGTTTCATTTCTCTACTTCCCCTGACCAGTGCAGGCTTGTTCCCTACATTGTTTTCTAATGGTTTTTGTAGTGTAGTTTTGAAGGGCTCAGTTATGGGGCTCTCACCATTTCCATCGGGAGAGTGCTTTTCCTGGTGATGTACAGAAATTTTTCTGTTGCTTAGCTTTATATAATTGCACCTAGTTATGCCCGCTTGGACTCCTCCAAATAATTCCTTTCTTCTGGTGTTTATACCCATTCAGCGCAGTACAACATAATACAATTTTATTTGCATTTTGTATTTGACACAAACTGTGTCCCAAAGCCCTTGGATTAAATTTCACAACTGTGTCATTGTCATACTATCCAAACTATTACATACTTAATTTTCACTCTTTTGGCATAAGGAATTATTTCAACTTGTTAACTGTTTATGCTGCTCTTATCAGAATTTGCTTCAGTTTTTGATTTTAAGCATCTTTGCAGTGCTTGAGATGTGGAACAAAGAGTTAAAAATATACAGCATTAAAATACTAGTAAACACAAGATGCCAAGAATCTCCAAATAATTGCTCTCTAAAACCCAGTAAATGGTACCCCATCATCATCATCTCCAAATTAATCCCATCAACCCATCTCCCCGTATGCCTAGGGGAAAACATGAGCCTGGGAGAGTGTCCAGAAAATTAACAACTCTGAGGAGTGGCCAGGAGTGCATTCTGGAGTAAGGAGCACCACCTTCTCCTGTTTAGACCAAAGGGGCTCCAGTTTGAGCATTTCTGTTGCTTGCAACCATCGGAGTATGCATAGGGAGATGGGCTGTCACTTAATGAGCCATAATAATTAATTTTATTAACCACTTTGCACTTTATAGGTCAAAGCAGCTCTTTGAACTCCACCTGGGAGTCAGTAGATGGATTGATCAGCTATATAATGTGCTCCCTGCAGGAAACCCCATTTAGCAAGTGGACAGCCACATTTGCCACTAACTTTAGCTTCCAAATCATTCCAAGGTCTGTCATCACGTGTAGCATGCTGCAATAATCTGAGCTCAGGGTGTCAAAGGCATGAATAATTGTAGCAAGGTCTGTGTCTGATAGAAACAGTCACTCCTCAGGCACAGATTGGGTTGTGGAGGCAGTGCTCTTGGCCAAAATTCTTAGCTCTGGGTAGTCCCAGAATTTATAAAGAGCTATGTATTGTAGATCTATGAGACAACTGAACAGGTACCAGTAATTTCAGCAGTCGGGTGCCCAGAATTGGATGTTTACAGCATTCTAGCTGTGTCTGCATGCCACAGCTGTAGTGGGAGAGACAATCTCCTCCTTGCTACAAAATGAGGGTGGTGCTACTGCTTTACACATGCCCCAAAACTTCATTGGCCGTTTTTGCTATTCTATCCCATTGCACACTCTCATCTGGTGTGCTTTCTGCTATCTATAGGCCTTGCAACTACTGCTTCCCAAGCTTTTGCTTTCCACCAACTATCTGTATTTCAGATTATTTTCTCTTGGGGTATTTATTAGCTGTATTTTCCCAAATTGAACCTCATTTTATGTTTTGCCTTGTTATAGGATAGGAGAATGAGTCACTATAGTGAGGTTGCTTAAATGAATTAGGGTGGGTGAATTATTATTTTTTAGGACACAAACTGGTTTCTATTACTCACCCTGTTTCATTCATGTAGCTTTCCAAATTATTCACCTTTAGGGCTAAAATCTTCTGTTCTTGGTTTCTGTTTGAAGGTGAAATTTTGGAAAGCTCAAGCAAAATGCTTTCAGTTATGGGATAGGATAAAATATTCTCTGTGGGAAGGAGAATTTCAAAGACCCTTTTACGGCTGAAGTATAAAAAGTAAAACTATGGGTAGTCCTTGGGGATTAAAACCCTAGCTTGTTGGGTTGAGGCAAAGGAGAAATAATTTTTATAAGTAATTATAAACCACTTCTAAGCATGCGTAGTGGGAAGCTAAAATTGTAGCAAAGCCTTTTGAATCTCGACCCCCCCTTGTGGCATCACTGCGAAATTCTGCCTTACTGGAGGCTTATGCAGGCACAGAAGCTGTAGCTGGGGCATTTTGTGTGTGTATATTAAAAAAAAAAAAAAAAAAAGTTTGCAGGTGTCTAATTGAAAACTCCTCAGCCCAACAAGCGTCTTAACATTCGGAGCAAGAGAAAATTATGGGTGGCAAAAAAAATAAATAATAATAATAATTCACAGCGGTTGATCTGTGTGTAACCGTTCCTGCATTCTACAAATACAAGCTTTTATTTACAGGAAAACTGTGCCATTCTGTTGCAGAGATGCAGCTCTTCCCAGTGGCGACTGATGTGCTGTAGTTTTAGTAACCCAGTTTGATTTGACAGTGTGGCCAAACAGTAGGAGCAACAAAAATGGGGCATTAATCCCGGTCGTCTTTCCATATACACTTTGTTAGTGTAGTATTTAAATTGAGTTTAAATACAGAAAATTATCCCATCCCCTTTTCTTGGGAAAAACAAACATAAAAAAAAATGCAAATTTCTTAATGCAATATTAAGTTGGTCAATTCTTGGGTAACTTTTACATTCCAGATAATTGCGATTTTAGGGTTATTTCAGCAATATTAAGTTGGCTGTATTGCACATGTGCTTTTAGTGTAGAACAGAATTGGTAAATACTGTATGTACAGAAGCTTAATTGTGGCTGTTGAAATATTAACATTTCCTGATATTTGTGATTTTAACTCTGCTATATTACATGTATCAACACCGTATGTAAAGTACCTGCCCAGTCATACACTCCCTTTGCTCTCCCAAATTCAATGAGGCAATCTGTATTTACTTTTTGTAATGAGTACTTAATAGTTGCAATAATTAAAGAAATTCAGTGCACTCAGACTTGTGGTCACTCTCATTTATTATCTTAGGGCTAGTCTACACTGGCAATGCTAAAGCGCTACTGTGGCAGCGCTTTAACGTGCCTTGTGTGGTCGCGGCGCGGCGCTGGGAGAGAGCTCTCTCAATCCTCTTAAAAAACCCCACCTCCACAAGGGGTGTAGCTCCCAGCGCTGGTGCACTGTCTACACTGGCGCTTTACAGCACTGAAACTTGCTGTGCTCAGCGAGGTGTTTTTTCACACCCCTGAGCGAGAAAGGTGCAGTGCTGTTGTAAATTGCCAGCGTAGACAAGCCCTTACTTTGCATCATCATCAGCGGTTATTCAAGGATCTCAAGGTATTGTACAAATCTTCATTCCTGTTTTACAGATGAGGAAACTGAGGTCCATGAGTGCTGGGTGGTGGTAGTGGCCTGAGATGTACAGGAGGTCAGACTAAGGCAATAAAGGATGGTCACATCATTTAAAGGCTGACTCTCTGAAGTGACTTGCCTGAGGTGTCACTTCACGTCAATGGCAGAGCTGGATATAATTCTTGGGTCTCCTTACTCCTCCCCTGCTTCAACCACTCAAACTTTTTTCCTTATAACAAGTATCTAACGTGGGGTTGTACTTGATTGATTACTTTCTACTTATGTAATTTTGTCTAACTAGTATTGTTTTATAAAAGGTCAATGAACATAATTGATTTTGCCATTTTTATGAATATCTTTATAAAGGCTAATACAGATATTGCCTGTTTAGGCACAGATGACTGATTGTTTAAATGCTTATTTTATACATTCAGTTTGTTCCTTTTCTTTTTCAGCCGAGTGGTTTTACCATGCTCAGTGCAAGAGGTATGTACTCTCTATCTTTCTTGTTGGGCTTTATGGTCTTATTTTAAAAACTGATTAGCCTGGATCCAAATGTTGGTTCTGTACTGTGTGTCCATTAGTCTACCAGATGTGAGTTACTGTCCCATCAGGGAGGCAGAGCAAACTTGTCTCAGCTCAGTGAACTTCAAAGCAGACAAATGACTACAGGTCAAGAAACGTTAGCCACTTCCAAGCCAATCCAGTGCTTATGATCAAGAAAAGGAAATTGTAAATCTCTTCATTGCTGCAGAAACTTCCTGCTGATGAGGCATTGTGTGACTCGAGCTAATATACTTCTGTCTCCCATCAAACAGGGATAGGGACACTCTTTAAGTGTTCGAAACTGAGGATTTAAATGGCACTGAAATGCACTTAACTAAAGCTCTCTCCCCAGAGTCCAAGTTGAACAGAAAACTTCCTGTTCTAAGGGGAAATGCAGCCTCTCTTGTTTACCTTCTGGCAGCTAGTTCCAGCCACCTAAATAGCTTTTTCCAAAGAAAGCTTTGTTATATACATGTGTGGTGACCTCTTGAATAACTGTGTGCATGTTGAAGCTGCAACGCTGGAAATAAAACTAATCATGTAACAATTTTACATGTAAACTAAAAGCATTTAAATAGCCATACTTGCATGTCTTTTGCCAGAACAGAAATAGTGTTTCGAAGTTCTCTTGGGTATCATGGAAGATTGTATGCTGTTGTATTAATGTGGAACAAAACAAATAGAGCCCAGAGCCTGTTTTCATGATCCATTAGACATATTTTCCAAAGTTTTGTCATTCTCTAGTGTGCACTGTCCTTATAGTAAAGTGTCCATTCGCTTGCATGTAATTATGTCCATACAAAGTTCTCTGGTCAAATTGAAATATCTAAATTCTGACACACTAAACAGTTTTCCTCTGTCACATTTTAATGTTGAAATTTTGCATCTCTTAATTTCAGTATCAAGTTGGGCAACTTTACTCTGTGGCAGAAGCTAGTAAAAATGAAACAGGAGGTGGTGAAGGAATTCAAGTCTTAAAGAATGAGCCTTATGAAAAGGATAGTGAAAAGGGACAGTATACCCACAAAATCTATCACTTAAAGAGGTAAGGGATCTTTTTGTGTTCTTTCTGTGAGGGAACTACTGACCCATGATTTCCCAGCTTCTATTTTTATTATGTAAAAGTACAGTACACTTCAGTCTTGACCAGGAAATATTTAGAGCCAGTTTGGAATTTTATGAAGGGTAATGGGGAAGAAGAGGAGCACACCATAAAATAGGTCTGGACATCAAAAAAGGTAAGTTTTAGGCATTTCATTCAGAGGAGACTTTTCTGCTGTTTTATACAGCTCATCAAATTGCTCATGTTAAATACATGAGTTTTCCCAAAGCTTGTGATACTTCAGCCTGTGCTTTTGTTAGTGAAGAAATTCACGGCAGCAGCATATCCCTGCTAACATGTATTTCTGACAAGACTTCACTTGATACCTTTCCCTGTGCGATGTGAGCACTACCTCAGTCAGGCTACAGTTCCCTAGACTCTTTGTGAAATTGGGCCATATTTGCTGCCAGTGAGCTATGTTTTGTTCCTTTTACAATTATGGAAGAGGATTTCATCTGAGGTCATTTTCTTGCTTACTGTTTTGACACATATGCACCAGTGTGGTGGCTAGTATAAACAGTGGTTTAGTATCCTGGCTACAATTGTCTTCCACTTCTACTCTTGAATGGGAAATGTTCATTAATATTTGCCTATTAAAGTTGTTGCTGGAATCTTGCTACAGCTACTGGGACCCCTGATCTATTTTGATCTTGTCACTACTGTAAACAGACTGTCCAGTGGATCAAAGAGTATAGTTCTGAATCTATTACGATTTTCTTTGAAGGCTTAAATAATATAGAACAGAAGCTTGTAGTTACGACCTAGAAAAAATTGACTAATGAGAAACTGAATTGTTGACCAGAACCACCTCCTAGTTCTCTGTGATTGGTAATGTCAAAGTCTTCAAAGTTAGGAACATAACTTTCTGACCTAAGAAATTCCTCCCTGGTTGTCTTTCATTTTCCTTACCTAAAATGGATCTGGGATTCAACTAAGCCCATGCTTTGTGCTAGTGTTTAATTTGGTAGGTGTATGCAGTACAGATTAGTAATGAAGACGTGTGCCAGGGCTTCATTTCATCAGGAAGATGAAGATTAAGATACTGGTAATTTGTGTGTTGCTACAATTTTGTGGTGTATCTAGTAGAAATTGACTTGTGCGGCGTTTGCTGACCTAAGTTCATGAGGAGTGAAGCCCTCCTCCCTTATTTTCTGTTGGATTACTCACCATGATAGTTGCTGATGTTGTTTTGCATGGCTTACTATATCTAGTTTACCATTTTACAAGAAACCAGAATTTTCAGCTCTCTTGTAATTGTTTAAACTGCTCTTCTTCTTTTTTTTTCCCTCCAAAAAATTATGAAAATTGTGGGTATGTTGGAACAGAGTCTCCCAGCTGGCCTGTCATATTTCTAGAGCCCTTGTCGCAATACTATTTCTAAATCACTTAGTACCGAAATGTATATTAAATAAGGAGTCTTAACTTGGGTCATTAGAGTATGACTTGTTTATAGACTGCCTTTAATGTGGGGTTCCTTACAGCTTTCCAGTTAGTTCACTGAGCTCCAAGAGTAGGTATTATCTCTTTTAAAAGAGCTCTGAAACTCAGTAATATTTCACTTTTTGATTTGGTTCCCTCAGAATATATTACTCCTGGGGGAATTCTGCGCCACTGCGCAATGCAGAATTTAGCGGAATTCCCTGTTTACTCTGCAGAATTTCTGGCTACCACTAGGGGCCACTGGACTCTGCAGAGCCCAGCTCAAAGTGAGCAGATCGCCCTGCCTGGCAGGGCTGGATGCTGCACGCTCTGCTTGATCCTCATTCTCCTGGGACGGAGAGGGCCTGGGAGAACCAACCAGCTTTGGCAAAGGGTGAGGAAGGGCAGGGCTGCATCACAACACGTCCCCTGGTGGGACAATAAAGAAATTGGAGCGAGTAAAGGCTCTGGGTGTGCTGGTGCCTGGGGGCTGCCCCGCTGCTGGGCTCTGCGGGGAGAGGAGTGCGGGTATCTGAGCTCTGTGGGCTCCACACAGCCCCCTCCAACACCCACAACTGAAACTGGGTTGTTGTAGGGGTTTCTTTAACTCTACTCCCGGGGGGGATCCTTTTTGCTGTTGTCTGTATTGTTGACATGTTGACAGGTATTTTGAAATAAATTACCAAAATAATTGAAACTGGAGTGATTATATTGTTGTTTTGACAAATAAAATATGCAGAATTTTAAAACATTGTGTGCAGAATTTTTAATTTTTTGGTGCAGAATTCCCCCAGGAGTTGTGTGTGTAATATATATAGCCACTTTCTGTGATACATGAGGATGTAATTCCTATGTTTGTTTAAACTTCAACATTTTACATACTTAAAACTAGAGCTGGTTAAGCAAAACTCCAATAATTTAGCTAACTCTTCCATCAGTTCATGAAGAAATTATTCATGAATTACTTCTTCTGTTTGACCAACTCCTTAAAAAGTAAAAAACCCAAAGGCACTTTTGCGAGTGCACGCGCATTTATTAAACTAAATGTAGAGTTAGGTATGTCCTAGTGCATATTAATCTCTGGATGGAAATATCCCTTAGACAGGAAAGTATGCCATATTTGAAGGATTGTAGCCTAAATGGCACAGGGACAATAGACAAACTAGGGTAAGGCAATAATAGCAGGGAAGGCTGCAGATCTCCTTGTCAGACCTGGGCACAGTACAGCGACTACACTGGTGGATGTTGTTGAAGGTCTCCTGGCAATGAATGAAGATCCACTGTCCATTGCTGATGTTTTCTATCATTGGCTTTCAATACCATTAATTATGAGGTGTTGCTGACTTGCCTGTAGAGGGAGTGGATATGACTTCTCTCAGGTTGCTGACCATTCCCAACGGAGGAGGATGGATCCTTGTTCATCATACCCAAGAGTGCTCCCATGTGGAATCAAACAGCTTTCAATTTTATCTCCCTGCTAATTCAAGACATGCATGGAATCAGTGGCGGGGGAGGGATGGTGTTAATGAGGGGTATTTCAATATGTTGATGTGTGCTTTCTCATTTGACCCAGCCTGTGCTGTCCAATGCCCGATTCAGTGTCTGTGGGAGACTGAGGTGACATGAAAATGAGACATCACTCCCAGCAGAGAGCCAGAGCAGGAACCCCTTTGGTTTAAAAGAGGGAGCTGCTGACAGGGTCCTGAAGTGGTGAATGCATTTCTTAAATAGCCAGATTTGGTGTTCTTCAGCTTGTGCTACCTAGGCATTTGGGGAAGGAGGGGTATGATAAGAGCTAATGTTTATGGTAAAGGCGGGGAGTGGTGACTATTTGTCAAATTTTAATTTAATCTTTGGTTAATTATTTTTCTGGTTTGGAGTGAGGAGCAGCTACTGGTTCAGCCTTTTTATGTGGCTTTTGTGTTTGTCAGTGGTGCATAGAGCTTGGATGTGTGTATCTTTTGTATATAAATCAAATAAGTGTTCAGCTGGCTCACGTCTGATCCTTAGGTGTGTTTCCTTTTGGTGGAAGAGTGGTACGGGCACTCTTCAGTGTACACTGTAAATTGGGAGAACTTCAGTTGATGTATAAATGTTAGGATAGCCAGATCTGCATGTCTCTGCTAATTAGAATAATTTGATAATAAAGTTTAGTAAGTAATACCTTATCTATTCACTTTAAATACTGAAATCTCATGTTTGCTATCAAACCAATCAAATCAGTGTTTTGCTATCCAAGATTAAACTTGTTCAAGTCAGATAATTTTTTTTATTGCCAAACAGAGGTTCCAGCTTGGCAGCATGAGCCAAAACATGAGCTGATCTGTTGGGACTAACTACAAGCACATGGAAAATTATATCCGGAACTTGATGTACAGGGTTGCTGTGGCTACTGTGAAGTTGTTAAAATATTTTTGTTGGGTTGGCTCTGGCTGGCCCATCTCCATTTAAATCTGTTTAAAGCATTGAGGTTGAATATTTGAAAATAACAATACGTTATTTTGCCATTTGTTCTGGATCGCTCCCATGTGGTCAGTCACCAGTGGTACCTGTAGAGTGAGTGAGCTCACACTTCAACAATCCTAGTGAAAAGGCGATCTTTACTTACCAGCCATTTTTTAGGGAAAAGATGACTTTTCCATTCCATTTGAGGTAGAAAGAACCTTGAATGATTGTCCAGAGTGGTGGACTTCAGCCCGGGTTGCTGGCCTTGTTCTTGGCCCCTTCATTCCTTTCTCGGAGTAACCCCACTGACTTTTCAGCTTGCTTTCTTGATCTAACAGGGCATGGGACACTGAAAATATTCTCCATTTAAAAGGAATCTGTTCAGGAACTGGGAATCATCAAATAGTAGAGGTAGTGAAATGATTATAAGGAATTAAAGCAGGCCATAGAAATAAATTACTGCATAAGATGGCACTTGAACCTTTCATCTTGAGAAATCAGATAAAATCCTAACTTGAGTTGCAAGAGAAATGAGTTCAGTAGCAATCTAACTACATAGCAGATAACCGTTACTCACAAATGCCATGTTATGTGGGATTAATTGGTGTCAAAAGGAACAACTAACTCCTGGAAGTTTGTTGCAGGTCATTCTTTAAGTGGGCATGAGCAGAGCTGAATGCAGATGTCTGTACTATACCTAGCTTAAGTCTGTACCACTGATTACAATTGTATAAGCTACAAACTCGCTTGCAGTCTTTAAAAAAAGAAATAAATGTTTGTTTAGTGGTGGAGCTACTCCTGATCCATTAGGGATAATGAGAATGTCCACAACTGTAGATAGAATCTCTCCTGCTTCAGGACATAAACCAATCACCAGCTGCCTGGGTTTCAGAAAAATTTATCTTCATGGGGTTTCTGTACTTTACTCTGAAGCATCTGGTCTGACCACTCTTGGGGAGAGAATTCTTGACTCGGTGGGCCTTAGGTTTAATCGGGCCTGGCAATTCTTATAGTAGGAAATCAATATTTACTTCTTAAGACATAACTGGGATAATTTAATCTATTCCTATTCAGGTTCTAGATCAGAGCTAACTGAGTTACATGACTTGATCTCTGTTATGCCATGCTGCTAGAGAGCTCAACAGACCAGAACCTTAGAGCAGAGTTTCTTTAGACAATGGTGTTTACTGTAGGTGAAGAGAAAGGAAAGCTAAACTGAATTTATGATTGAGATCATGCTGCTGAAAATATGCTTAAGTGACTCAATTACTTTGGGAATGGTAACATTATTGCAGTTCATACAAATTAAACTGCTTGTGCATCATAATTTTTAATATGCTTGGGTAAAAAAATGTGCCTTTTCAATTAGATTGCTAGAAATCATTGTGGAATCTCATTCAGTTGGCAAAGCTGTAACAAACGTACAATATTTTGCTCTTCACAGTAAAGTTCCTGGGTTTGTAAGGATGATTGCTCCAGAAGGCTCCTTGGTATTCCATGAAAAGGCTTGGAATGCATATCCATATTGTAGAACAAGTAAGCTTGCTCTGAATTGATTCTTACATTTTTGCCATACTGCTTAGAGATGCTATCAAGTGGTTTAGGCCCCAAAGTTTTGTAATTGGGTGGAAAATATCTTGCAGATCACTTTTTGGCAAACCTACTCTGGCTGAGCTATGCAGCCATGAAAGACAACGTAAGTTAACCAGCAGATTCTAGTCCCAAGACATAATTATGTGCTAGTGCATGATGTCTCCTGTACAAGACTAAAGAGTCTGACTAATGTCTCTTTCCAAGTCCAGGTTAAAACTTGTTAGGAAAGAGACATAATTTACAGTCCCTAAAAGCTTCTGCAAAGGATGAGTGTAAAGGTTAAAAATTACAATTGTAGATAGCAATCAAAGTTCCTTTGATTTGATGCAATATTCATGTTTACTGTCCAGAAAACTCTTTGGTCTTTAGAGGAGGAAGTTGTGTAAAGGAGATGCATTCACCATATTCCATTTCTGAAGCTTTGATTTCTTTACGTTCCACGAATCCTGTCCCTTTTTATTTTTTGGCCTGTCTTGTGTCAAAGTGTTTAAAATACCTTAAAGCATACTTCATCTTTAACATTAACAAATGGTTTCACAGAAGTATGCTGATGAATGGTTTTATTGTGGGATTATTTTATTGAACAAGGGGTTTTTAATGAGCAATTGTTATACCCTCTGTATATAACTCCATCTGTATTACAGATTGCTTTAGAGTTAATACTTTTGTGACAGACCTGTTGCGCATATTAACACTATTTTTAATGCCTTCTTTTCCTTTTCGTTGCATGTCCCTCTGGCTTTCAGTTGTGACGGTGAGTACCTGGATTATTATTTGTTTATGAAATGTGTTTTAATGTGGCTCTTGGTTATTAAAGTTATAACTGACTTTCTGATGCTGCATATCTGCCAATCCAGACTCTGGTTTACTGATTAGGTAAGATTTCACCAGTCAGAAATCAAAATTTTCAATCTGATACTTGCCGCTACTTCTCTCCTTATTCTCTTGTTCTGCTCTCATCACTCACTCTGCTCTTCATAATTCCTGATATTGGAACAGTACACCATGCTAAATGATTTAATAGCTGTGAATATACAGCTTAAAATGGCAAGAGTTCCACAGCAAGCTATCCAGGAAAGGGAAGAAAGTGCCTTGGGATCTACTTTCCTCCAGCTTAGCATAGCAGACTAGCTTTGCCCTATTGCATCAAGCACTCTCCACGCAATTACGGCAGAGTCTGGGCATGTGACCTGATCAAATGGACAGCCAATGTCTCTGGAGGAGCTTTCTTTTCACCAGAAAGTGGTAAGTACTCTCAAGGATAGTCAGAGCGGTGCAGGCTTTCTCTAGTTCAGTGGTCCTGTGTGGTAAGGTCTTTGTGAAGGCTGGCACTAAGGAATGCCAATTATGTGTCCAAAATGCAAGTACATAACCTCTTCCATTAGGGAAAGCTGAAGTGAAAAAACCAGCCAGCCTAAAACATCCCCCAGCAATCCCTTATAGGATGCTTTAGTTTTCACCATAGTCTTTGAGAAGGGTTAAACCTCCAATAACTCCTGAATCAGTGTGTGTATATATAGTGAAAACTGCTTAGTTATCTGAGCTATGACACTCTGTTCCCTGCATAAGACCAAATTAGCCATACTGTACTGTACTTGTTGGATTCACTCACTGAATTTAGAGGTGAAAAATACTTGGGTCTTTGAATTTCCAGGAGACAGAATACTGTGTTAGATGGAGCACAAGTCTACTGGAGTGGCAGTTCTTGCTGTAGTTCCACCCCAGAGCCAGCTGCTGAATTTTCCTGCTGAATGTCCTGCTTGGAATCATTCAGGTTGAGTGCAGCTGTAGAAGGGGAAAGGATTAGCACTTCCTCATTTGATTTGTAGACATAGACAAGAAATGCTCAAAATAGTGTTGTTGCACTGAGCAAAGTTAGTATCCTAAGTGGTAATGGTTTAATGTAGCGGACACACAACTGCTATCATAATTTAATGGGAATTTGTGTAACCTCATGCATCACTGTGCAAATTTGGCCCTATAGGCTGATGTGCAAAGCACTTCTCACTGGCAATGCAGTAAAGTGCATTTTAAATGAATGTTAGATTTCTATAAATGAGCAACTTCCTTTGTGACTCTAGTTTGGCCCATCCTGCAACATCATAAGCCAGTGTGTTAAAGCTGGACTAGTCAGAGTAAGAATGACACCAGTGGGTATTTAAACATTGAGCTAATGTCAAACAAAAAAGCCCTTCTCATTGTTAAAAACCGTTGCTGTAAAGTGTAAACCAGTTTTTGGTCTCTTCTATAGTATATAGCCACTGTAGCTTGAAATTAGTCAGTTGACCCTGGGATGCTTGGCAGAAACACACCCTGCCAGCATCTGAAAATATCATGGATCTTGCCTACAGAGATAACACTGATTCATAGATTCTAGGACTGGAAGGGACCTCGAGAGGTCATCGAGTCCAGTCCCCTGCCCTCATGGCAGGACCAAATACTGTCTAGACCATCCCGGATAGACATTTATCTAACCTACTCTTAAATATCTCCAGAGATGGAGATTCCACAACCTCCCTAGGCAGTTTATTCCAGTATTTAACCACCCTGACAGGAACTTTTTCCTAATGTCTAACCTAAACCTCCCTTGCTGCAGTTTAAGTTCTGATACTGTCAGAACTTGCAGTCCAACCTTTCCTCCACACTGAGAGCTAAAATGTTTGTAAGACGTTGAGGTGAGGGCATCTTATTGTCCCTTGAGCAGAATGGATAATCCAGCACGGAGTGAGTTGAGCTTTCTGTTACAGAGAAGGGCTGGGGACCAGACTTTCTCATTGGGAAACTCACATTAACTCAAGCTCCACTTCTATAGTGCAGAAGATTCCTTCCTTTTATGTATGCCTTGCCAAGAGTTCATAGTTCTTTGTGAGACTGACATCCTAGATAATAACTGTAATTTAAAAAGTGTTTTTTCCTGACAAATGAAACTCCTTCATTTGCCACTTTTTTTTTTCAGTCTTACCAGTAGGCAGTTAGTCTGAAAAGTCAGCTCTGAGGCAGTATGATGAAGGATCTCAGGTCAAATATATAGGGTTTCTTGACTGTGGGAAGAGCAGGGTAATAAGACTGGCTCATATGTGCAAAAATTCCTATTCCTGATTGGTGAAGTCCGGCTGATTTGAATGGGTTACCTAGGGAGGTGGTGGAATCTCCTTCCTTAGAGGTTTTTAAGGTCAAGCTTGACAAAGCCCTGGCTGGGATGATTTAGTTGGGGATTGTGCAGGGGGTTGGACTAGATGACCTCCTGAGGTCCCTTCCAACCGTGATATTCTATGATTCTATGAAATGGGCTAACCCAGAATCTGGATTGGTATCACAGAAATCTGTCTTAAATTTGAAACTAGTGCTTGTCATAATGGTAAGTGTCTTTTCAAAGACTGTTTTTTTTGTTTTTGTAAAGTGCTTTGTGCCCTTTCTAATGTCTTATTAGTTGGAAGTAATGTTAAATTGCTTGACCTGCTCTCTTTCAAGCAGATTTCATTTCTGAATCCAAATTTATTGTAGAGTCACCACTGTGGACACTCCATGAAAACAGCTCAGCTCTCACTAGCGACCAGCTATGCAAGGAGTTGCAGATGGGGCTGTAAATCAGGTTTAGCCTGACCAATAGCAGTATGTGTGCACACACACGCATGCAAGTGCATGCTTTCCCTTTGTATAAGTAACTGCTTTCCTTGCTGCTCGGTGGAGGGGTGGAAATTTGGTCTGTTAGGTGGAGTTAGCTTTGTTACGTTAAACTTCATGTTCCCTGGATTTTAGCACTAACTCACAGAATATAAAAAAAAATAAAAAAAAATGAAAATTCTTTTGGGACACTTCCTACATTTTAGTACTATAGGAAAGATCCCATAGCAGAATAGTATTTTTGCATGGAACCTTTTGTTAAGACTTCTGTGGTAGTCAGTCTTAATAAAGAAAAAATAAAATCCTGACTTTAGAAGAAATAGAAAACTTGCTGTGACATGGGGTGGGGGGGATACTGAAACCACTTGGAGGAGTCCAACTGAAGTGTTTACAGATTCTCCATATTTGTATGGGTAGGTGTCATGGGTATCTAGATTTATCAAATGACCATCGTTCAAGTTACATCTTATGCGCTAACCAATATTTCAGATTGAGGTGTAGGGCATCTAAACATGTCTGTTTCCATGTGCAGTAGTGGGGCCTCTATTTCTGTTTCTGTCGGAGTTAAAATGGGAAGCAAAATTGCTAGTCAAGGCCTACAGTGCCTCCCCTGGTGGAGAAATCAACTTGTTAAATGTAAGATTTAAAAGGGGAAAAAGTATAGTCACCCTTCTGCTGCTTGGTTTTGTTTTTTTTACAGAATGAATATATGAAAGATGACTTCTTCATAAAAATCGAGACCTGGCATAAACCAGACTTGGGGACATCAGAAAATGTAAGTCAGGGTCCAGTAGTAACCCAGCATTTGCCGTACTTACTGCACACATTGAACCTGATGGACCAGTATTCCTTTTCTGGCTGTGCTGATAGCTGATGCTTAAAGGAAGGCATCCTCCCTCCAATAAATAATAATAAGTACTCCTCTAAAGCAATGAAGCTATTTCTCCTACAGCTGTGGAAGGAAGAGTTTGGAGAAAGGCAGATGTTTTTATTTTCAAAGTTTAAGAGATCTTCAGATCATACAGTGAATGGGAATTGTGTAGCTACCTAGATATTGTTCCTGAACACTTATGGAAGGAAACCTCTTATCCTGGATGTCTCCTATCCCAGCGGCTCCAGCAAGGGTTTTAAATGAATCGTACTGGTCACTTTGAAAGCATACAGTCTTCTTTGTTCAAGCATTTTATTAATGTTACATGTTGAAATTCCTTTTTTAGTTAGTTTTCGATCTGGAAATATCCTGGATCGGTCCCTCTCAGCGTAGCTGGTTCAGTGCCAGTAGGGTGGTGCGTGATTTGGACTGTCCCCTTTCTCTTCTCTAATGAAAGAGTAGCCAGATACTAATGGTGGGCCCCTATATAAATATAATTGTCCATTTTCAGTGTTTGGATGACTTGCCTGGACCATTGTTTCTCACACAGGCTAGAAACCTGCAGAGGGGATGACTTATGCTAGTGAAAATAGAAAGTAAAAAGTGTTCCTAGACAATTCTGTGTGTGCTTAATCTGAAGTGTATCTATGGCTAACAGCTATATGTATATGACACATGCTATGTATCTGGGCCCTTCAGTTTGCATTAGGTCATGTCTTTTGAGAGATGCATGTTAATGGATACATTTCAAAACAGTATATGGCTAGCCAACTTCAAAATGTGCTGGAGTCTCTAATGAACTCATTTGATGTATGGCAGGTTACTAATAACTGGATCACTTGCACTTCAGAGCTTTATGTGAAGGTTGCTCACTAAATAATATGTCTGCCTAGCCTATTGAATGCGTAATGATTCTAATTACAGTGTTTGATGTCCTTAGCTGTAAGGAAAGTGGCAGAAGAATACAATTTAATCTTAAAACCAAGCTCCTCTGAAAGCACAAGAATTGAAGGTTTAATAAAGCTACAACTAGCTTCAGAATTGCTTAATTAATTAAATGGTAACTTCAGAGTGTATTCCCCAGGTGATTGTAAGAAAACTGTCCATCTCTGTAGAACTCAGAAAAACCTGAGTAGTACAGAACTAACGCAGTGGCTGCAATAAGGCGACAAAGGGTTAAGCCCCTTCTCCCCGTTGCAGGTGCACGACTTGGATCCAAACACGTGGAAGAGTGTTGAAGTTGTCCATATTGACATTGCAGACAGAACTCAAGTAGAACCAGCGGTAAGTAGACACTGTGCTTATTGGGAGATGGTTGTCCTATCTAGCTAATTACTTTGGCCTTTATTTGCACCTTAACATTGTTTTCCATTGATTGTAAATAAACTAATATACCCAATGTATTTGATCCCACAGGTAAATATAAAATTGCTTTAAATATAAGTATTGATCTAAATTAGGGGATGTCAAATGATTTAAAAAATTAAGTCATTAATCACGAGATTAAAAAAAATTAGTTGCAGTTTTATTTGCACTGTTAAACAGAATACCAATTTAATTTTTTTTGATGATTTTCTACATTTTCAAATATATTGATTTCAATTACAACAGTGGCACAGTTCTACTGTGTTCTCATGATCTGGAGTGATTAAATATCAGAAAGTTAATGGAGCAAATCAGCAAAAGTTGAGGTCTTTTGAATGGGAAGTTTATTTATAAAAACTTCCAGATGGTTCTCTGGATAAAGAGACGGTTATCTGTAGCCAAGGCAAGGCTGAATTCCACTACCATTGAAGTACTTTGAGTCTGCGGTAGCACCTATGCTCTAAACATGCTTTCACCTCCAGTTCTTGTGCTACACATAACCCACCGACAGCAAATGAATCCCACCAGCCGCAACAGAGTACACTTACAGAGTTTCAAGATCACTGCAATCTCATGGATCAAAGAAAGTATAACAGCTTAACCAATTGTATTGCAAAGTGGTGGATAGCTATCGACTGCAGACCACTCATCATTGTAAATGACAGAGGGCTAAGAGGTGTTGTTCAAATTGCATCTTCCAATCAGTCATACGCCCCGCCCTCCTGAGGAACCTTTGCATCAGGAATACATGACCTATATCACAATGAAAAGACTACAAATTTGGAACTTCTGAAAAATGCACTAGCTGTTTGCTTTGGTGATCACTGGACATCCTTGAACGATCACAGCTGTCTTGGAGTCACGACACACCTGATTGATGCTGCATGGACACTACAGTCGTTTGCTTTAACAGTAATACATAAACCTATGATTAATTACAACTAATTTTTTTCATCTAGTTAATTTGTTTTGCATTAATCACTTGCATTAATGGCAATCTAAATGCTCAGTACTTTTAAATTTTGTGGGTATTTGCTAATCTATCAGGTTTGCTTTTTATCGGCACATTGTGGGCAATGGATTTTTGGGAAACAGACAGCTTTTAGTTTTAACAATACAGTAATTGACTTGATCAACATTTGTGTGCCAGTTTCAGTGTGTGAGGCTGAAATTGAAATAGGAATTGAATCCAGCTCTTCTGCATAGCCTGGCACAGAGCTCTGACCTGGCCATCCCTTTTTGTTGCTGTTTTAGGAATATATTCTTAAATAGCCCTCAGTTGGGTTCTGGCAGGTCTGTCTTTGCTGCAGAAATCTGTGTTGGAGAATTGCTATTGCTTCCATCTTTTCAAACTTTATTGAACACTTCTGCCCTTCAGTGCAGCAATTATCACCAGGTGAGCTGGTCTTTCATCTCTGCTGACAGATAGATGGGCCAACTGTAGTTAGAGAAACACCAGTGTCATTTCTTCAGCTTCCCCTCTCCATTTACTGCTTTGCTGCTGCTATTATTTTGAAGCACGTAGTATGCCAAGCACCTCCCATGGTCCCTGCCCTGAGAATTTACAACCTAGTTTCAGATGAGATGCAATTCAAGGATAATGCAACAATGAAAATGGCAGAGCGTACCCTGGTAAGGTTACACAGTTACTTAGTGTAGGGGTGTGTCGTTTGGGTGTTGCAGTACTGGAGGTGCTCAAGGAGCATAGCACATAGAACTGGAAGGGATCTTTTGGGTCATCAAGTCCAGTCTTCTGCTGTTGGCAACCCCATCATATAATCATGTTCATAAACTTTTTTTTTCATAGATTCTAGGACTGGAAGGGACCTCGAGAGGTCATCGAGTCCAGTCCCCTGCCCGCATGGCAGGACCAAATACTTAGCAAGCTCCGTCTTAAAACTAGTTCAGTGTTTTGCTCCCACTACTCCTATTGGGAGGCTGTTCCAGAACCTCCCTCCTCTGATTGTTAGAAACAATCTTCTAATTTGCAGCCTGGCAAATAGGCCTGGCAAGCTAACTCGGGAACGGCGGTGCATGTGTAAGGGGGGGAGGTGAGAGAACAAGGCATGGAAATGATTGCAGAAATATTAGATGTCCCTTCAGAAGCAGAAAGAAGATGCTTAATCCCAGGCATGCACTTTTATACAGCATATAAGCTCTCAATTCATTGTGCTGTCCAGTACATCTCACGCGCACATAAAAAAAGTGATATATTGAATCCATGATTGCATCAGACTGCACTGTAATGACTAGGTACAAGGACTACGCATTCTGTCTTAACCGTGCTATGTCCTGACTTTGAATATTGAATGTTGCCCTCTTACCATTGGCTTAGCCTACTACTTGAAATGTGTATTTTTTCCCCTAAGTTTTTGACTCTATGGATGTCCATTCTCCACTGACCAACTGCCGTTTGGTTACATGGCTAATCTGGAGAAGAATGTAGAATACCTTGATTTGTAGGTTAGCTGCTAGACTGCTTAGAACAGAGTTTTGCAAGAAAACTTGAGTTCTGTTCATGTTGCTGTCTTTTGTCCCTCTTTTACTTATGCATGCGCGCACACATACACATACCCTTCTTCCCCACTGCATATCTTTTTTCACTTCGCTTTTTCCAAAGTCCTCTTTCATAACTGTCCTAACCACTGATAGAAGAGAATATACTGTGTATTCATGTGTTGCTTATGGAGGGAAGGGAAATTGTACATCTTAACTGCACAATTCACCAAGTTGTCTTTTTCAATAATTTTGTTTATTTTTAGAATATTCTGAGACCCTCCATTTAAATCAAGTTAAATATGTCTTGCATATTTTCACGCAGCAAGGAATCACTTTATTGTTACTTGTGGTGGTTTTGTCATTGTATAAATGATCTGGAAAAAGGGGTAAATAGTGAGGTGGCAAAATTTGCAGATGATACAAAACTACTCAAGATAGTTAAGTCTCAGACTGTGAAGAGCTACAAAAGGATCTCTCAAAACTGGGTGACTGGGCAACAAAAGGGCAGATGAAATTCAGTGTTGATAAACGCAAAGTAATGCACATTGGAAAACATAACCCCAACTATACATATAAAATGATGGGGTCTAAATTAGCTGTTACCACTCAAGAAAGAGATCTTGGAGTCATTGTGGATAGTTCTCTGAAAACATCCATTCAATGTGCAGCAGCAGTCAAAAAAGCAAACAATGTTAGGAATCATTAAGAAAGGGAGAGATAATAAGACAGAAAATATCATATTGCCTCTATATAAATCCATGGTACGCCCACACCTTGAATACTGTGTGCACGTATGGTCGCCCCATCTCAAAAAAATCTATTGGAATTGGAAAAGGTTTAGAAAAGGTCAACAGAAATTATTAGGGGTATGAAACGGCTTCTATATGAGGAGAGAGTAATAAAACTGGGACTCTTCAGCTTGGAAAAGAGATGACTAAGGGGGGAATATGATTGAAGTCTATAAAATCATGACTGGTGTGGAGGAAGTAAATAAGGAAATGTTATTTACTCCTCATTACACAAGAACTAGGAGTCACCAAATGAAATTAATAGGCAGCAGGTTTAAAACAAAAAGAAGTATTTTTTTCACAGAACACAGTCAACCTGTGGAACTCCTTGCCAGAGGATGTTGTGAAGGCCAAGACTATAACGGTTCAAAAAAGAACTAGATAAGTTCATGGAAGATAGGTCCATCAATGGCTATTAGCCAGGATAGCAGGGATGGTGTCCCTAGCCTCTGTTTGCCAGAAGCTGGGAATGGGCAACAGGGGAGGGATCACTTGGTGATTACCTGTTCTGTTCATTCCCTCTGGGGGACCTGGCATTGGCCACTGTTGGAAGACAGTATACTGAGCTAGATGGACCTTTGCTCTGACCCAGTATGGCCACTCTTATGTTCTTATGCATATAACCTTAGAAAAGATGAAGTGGCAGGTAAATACGTTGTGTATTTCCTATTCCAAGCCTGAAATTGTGGCAGGCAATACCAGTGCTGTCATCTGTAAGAATGCTGGTTCTGACCACAGTATAGTTTGTGTATAAATAGGAAGCTATGGTAATTATTAAACTCCAAGGAAGTGAGTAGTACTTAAATCTTTCCACTCTGAGGGATCCTCTTAGTGTAAATGCTTCTGTTTACTATATGCCCTTCATGCACCATCAGAGAATGGGCACTACTGTGCTTAGCTACAGTATCAATAATATTTTGTATTGAAGACTGACCAGGCAGCATAGCTAAATATCTGTGCTCGGAACTCCACTCCCCATCTGCGGCATTCTTTGCCTGGTTCCTTTGGATAGTCTGTGGAATGCTTTATATTACTTGGCCTATTTTTCCTTTAGTCACATTAGTTTTGGTTTTGTTGGGGGTTGGGGATAGTGTAAGTGCCTTTCCTGTCTTTGTGTGGTATCTTACTGGTACACTACGGAGAGGGCTTGCCGCTCTCCTGTCTGAGGAAAGTTGTATATATTTTTCCATTACTTCACAATTTTTTCTGAAAATAAGGTAATTACATTTGTAATTTTCTAGCAGTTTTTCTAAAATCCTTAAACTTTTGTCCTCCATACTAAGTGAGTAAACTTTAGCCAAATTCTGTGCCAGTTTCTTTAGTTTCCAACTATAATCAAAACTATAACATATAAATATAAAAATAGTAAATTCCTTAAAGATTCTTATGGCATGCATATGCTAACCCACACCCATGTAAAAATGTATACAAATGATTCAGCAGACATATGCTATTCTCTTAAGGTATACATTTAAACCTGGCCTCTTAATCATCTCCAGCACTTTGTCTAAGTAGCTTTTGTGATTTGTATACAAAAGTCACTTCCCAAGAGAGGATGAAGCTTTAAAGTATAAGCAGAAGTGTACATACAATTAACATGAGAAGAGGTTACATTTTTGGAAGTAATCAGAA